GGGGGGGGGGGGTATGGATCTTTTCTGGAACAACTCATTGTGGGGCATTTGTCTGTTTTGGTACAGCATTCAAAGCCAATCCCCACCTATATCCTGGGGTGGGGGTCGGGGTTTACTTTGACTGGTACATCACAATGACATAATTGCAAGGCTAGGATATTTTTTAGAGGCTATGCAGCAAGTTTTCAACAGGACGAGACATTGTTACAAGGACGTAATTCTAAGATAGGAATATTCTAAGGTAGGAATATTTTTTAGTGGCCATGCAGTGGTTAATAGCAATTTCCATTATACTTGATGTTGTATTTTGACAGCACTTGGCATAGTGCACATGACTGTAGCAGCTTAGCCACTGACAATGTGGCTAGGCAGCAAAAGATGACTAGAGGATGGCCGTTATTCTATAATTTACCTGCCCCGAATATAAACAGGCGTACAGACGCTGTGCTCAGTTAAGTCCGATCAGGATCAGCTAGAAATAGCTATCGGGATCACGGGAAGGGCCGAAAATACAGAGCAGGATACGGAATTTCAAAAGTCTTTGGGGCCCCTCATAAAAACTACAGTCTACCAAACAGAAACCTCAAAATCATACCAGAACTACTTTATTTGAAGCTTCTAAAGCACATACCTTAACTGCTTTTAAAGCTAGGCGAGTTATTGACGTGACTTTCGCTTTGGAAATCGGCGGTTTCGTTGCATAAAGTGTTGATAGCTGAAATGAAATGTTTCATGCACAGTCAGACAGAATGTACATTCCAAACTGGGTCATCGAATTTTTGCACGTTTTTCAGAGGAAACGAGCGGGAAAATTAACGGCACTTACCTCGCTGTTGAATTGCCGGACTATTTCCATGTCAGCCATGCTGAATTAGAAAAGAAAGAGGCTCGAAAATTGAAATTTTTAACGATTTTTTTTCGACATATTCCATGTGCTTTTCAACTTTCGCCGCTCGTTGAGACAATATGGCCGCCCACGCGTGATGCGTGGGGAGACGCAAAAAACGCGCGAGTCACGCGACTTCCCGAAATCGTAATTATCCGTTAATGATTATGATAATAATTATCGGTAATTATTTTATTATTATTCAAAACTGTTCTCCCTAGAGGTCCAGTAAGGATCACCTAATTAAAGGAGCAGTGTCACCGTCTGCGCATCTCTTCTGCGCATAGCAAACTTGAAAAACTACAGGATGTAGTTTTTCAAGTTGATGATTCAAGATGGCGGCCATTTGCGAGTGAGTGCATTGCGAGAGAGGCAAAAATTTCGGCACATAGATGTACATACAAGGCAGATGAAACTCTCAAAATACTGGAATAGGCAGCACAAAAGCTTATACTGATTCCTGAATATATTTGAGGCAAAAAGCATGAGAAATTGGGACGAAAATGGAGGCTTGATAAAGTTCACGAAGCGATATCAATTTCGCTGTACATTTGCTGTGGTTGGAATATCGTAAGAGGTAAAATAATTGAATTCATAAAGGTACCAAATCAATTTTAAAATATATAGCATAGGTGTATCGATTTCAGGCATTCGTAGCAACAACAGCGAATGACTTAGAGCCTCA